CAGACCTCTGCCTTAGGGAGAGGTATTGGTCTCCAGCCTCCCCCCACCCCGACTCTGTGCTGACTGATATAGTTGTACTCAGTGTGGGTCAGAAGCCATGGACTACTGTGGGAAGAGGATGATCAGATCTGGACTCACCCTACTTGCTCTTGCTGGTGTCAATTCTCCCACTAAGTTCTGATGTGTCTGGGCCTGTTCCAGTTTGGGGGAGTGTCTTTCTCTTTGACTCTGATGCAAAGATAGACTCTGGATCCCAAGATGGAGGCTGGGTGGAGTTGGGTAAGGAAATGCAAGTATCTGCCAGGTCCCAGTACTGAGAAGATGGCACCCATCAGTGTCATATCACTGGCATTGAGCTTTATTCCAGTTTACCATGACCTGCATCTCCCCTATGCTCTTGCTTGTGCCAGGTCTGTTACTGAAGATGATGGCATGGGCCAGGTGCCAGATGGTGAGGGGCAGCATCTCTGATGCCTCTTCTGAAGAAAGCCCTGAGAATGGTAGATGATCCTCTTGCCTAGGTCTCCAATTTTAAGGTGGTGGTGGGTTGCAGTCACCTGGAGGTGAACCCTGTTTTCATGAACCCACTCTTTCCTCTCAGACAGACTTTCACTCACCTACTGGCACACATTCACTCATGTAGATTGTCTTTATGGACTCTCCCTTATGCAGACGCTCTCACAATTCAACCTATTTCATTACCATCTTTCTGGACATTCTAAAAGCTTTTTCAAAAAATAATTCACTGAAATCAAATGCAGCCTTTCACAGCAATGCTAGCTGATACATTGATGCCAATGGGTTTCTAAAACACTTACCTAGTGGAGTAAGTTTTTACTTCAAAGGATCCACCCTCTAAAAAATAATTCCATCTTTTTGTGAGAGAGTTCTCTAGTGTATGTGAAGTTTTCATAATATAGTTTTTTGTACTCATGCCTTTTATATGTTTTTGATGCATATACTTCCAAGCTTTTGATGTATATTTCTACAAAAGGTACGTTTTGGCGGAAACTCAGTCAAATCTACTGTTAACTCACCTACTAATGTTTTCATTTTTCATTTTAATTTTTTATTGTGTTAATTTGGCTACTTTTAATAATCACTTGCTTTCTGATAAAATTCTTCACCTTGTCACTGATTGTATTAATCATATAATATCTGGTTACCCCAATAACTGCAAATTCTTTTGGTCTATTTCTGTTGCCTATTGTCCCCACTTGATTTTGTATGATTGAGAAGTCAGAATGTACTTAATATTTAAGTAGACATATGCTCATATTTGCCATTAATAAATTAGAGATTATTTTAGGGCCTGGAATGCTTTCTATTTTCCAGGGACGATTGGCCTTTGATTCTGCTGTGATATATTTCTATCGACAGGTGAGGCATTTACAGATCTGGACACACCTTTTCCATTTCATGTTCTGTGCTTCCCTCAGTGCTGCAGCTGCTATTGAGATAAACACTATACTCTTTTATATTTGGATTCTTCAGTTTATTTTTGCCCTCTTTTGTTTATAATTCACTCACAGGGGCCATCTATTAATAAAATCTATAAATCTATTATGTAAGATGCAGGGGGATAACACAATGTAGAATTTTAAAAAATCATAAAAATTTGACAGCTCAAAGTCTATTGTATGTGATGATTAGGGTGACTAATAAGAAGACAATTAATGAGAGAAATAGACACTAGTGCTGAATCCATCTAGGCACAAGTTCAAAGGCTCAATATCCTGAAGAAAGAGGCCGATTTCTCATTTTCTTGTTCATGGCACAGGAAGTATTCATTTCACATTCCTCAGTTCCTCATCTTTTATTATTATTTGTTATCTTCTTAGTTTGTGTCTTGAACCAGATACTTTTGATCTGATCCACCTTTTTCTTACCTGAAGCCCATCGCATCCTCTAAACAACTCTGAAAGTGAGTTAGCAACCACCAGGCAGTAAAAACACAGACCCAAGCTTAGGAAGACTACGAATGTTAACAAAGTATTCAGTTGACATCTCTGACCTACCTTGGATTTATTTTCTTGCATATTGATATATTTTTATTTTTCTGAACATCCACTATTGAGAGACCCATTCTTCTCATTGCATTGGTTGACAATCAAATAGAATCTTTGCACTGCTAGTGGAAAAGAAAAATGAAACAACATTTTTGGAAAGAAGTCGGGGAAATCTTTAGAGGTTGAATCAAAGTGTTACCATGTGGTGTCACAATTCAACTTCTTTATTTGGAAGATTGCCAACTTTTGGTAGTTTTTCTTATGATTTTTCAAATTTATGATAGTGTAAAAGCCATATAAATTAAATAGAAAGTATTTTATATTTAATATTTTTCTATTTTCCTGGGCTAGCAATATGTGCTATGGTATTCTCAGCAGCAGCTCCCAGCAATACCATGAACACAAAGGTAAACAACTGATACCTTACAGTGCACTGAATTATCAGGATGAATTTTTCCAACTATATGCTAATGGTGGTGTTCTGAGCAGTTTAAGAAAAGTTAAACTATGATGCTTTGTGGGTTAGCTGCTTTAAATGCATGGCTTATGACATTTTCAATTTGCAATGGGCTTATTGGGACATTTTCTCATTATACATTGAGAAGCACTGGTATATGCCCTTCCAAAAAGAAAATTTATATTCATTCAAAAACTTGTACTTGAATGTTTTTAGCAACAAAATTGATCAATATTTAGAATTATTCAGAAACAGCATTGTCTATAAATGGTATCAAAATTCTCAGTAATGCCCCTCAACTAGGTGAATGGCTTTAAACGACTACTGCCCACCAATCCATCAGAGTCTTTACTCACCCTATGTCTACTAACTAGTATAGCATGAATATTCACATATGTTTTTGTTTCATTTTCTAATCTGCAAAATTGCCAATTGCAATCATGCATACTTAGGGACAGAACGTACATTGAAGCAAATTCTTATTTTTTAATATTAACTTGGTTTGGTTCATACATTTAGATTTGATAGGAAATATTGTTTTAGCACAACACATTTTGAGAAGTGTAAAATTTAGATGCTTCTAAGACAAGTGTCTATGGTGACTCCTGTGACACTGATGCCACTAAAATTGTGGTAACTTTGTAAATCATAGAAATTGTTACATTTGATGAGATGTACTCATTGACATGTGAAAATGAACACAGATTACTACTGAATATAATTGAATGAGATGGCTAAAAAAGTTAAGATGCATTAATGAGTCAAAATGGTATTACACTTCATAGACAATTAAAATGAACTTTTGGTAGAATAAATCATATATATACTCACATATATATATATTCACAAATTGTAACATTTGCATACACATTCACAGATCATAAGAACACAGATTTTAATAACATTTTCATAGAATGGATGTACTTTTGTAACTGCCAATCATGCTAAAATAGGACATCATCAGTCCCAAAAGTAGCCTCTGTCTTCTTCCATTCATTAACCCTGCTCTTCTACAATGCAATTTCTAACTTCATTTTAATATTGTTGATTAATTTCATCAGTGTTAAAACTTTATAATAGGATTATCATGGATAATAAACTATATTTTTCCTAACTTCTTTTGCACATTATTTTTATGAGATTCTTTTAGGTTCTTAGCTGTAGAAGTAATTTTTGTATTTTTATTTTTATATAGGATTTCATTGTATGCATATACCACTTTTTATTTATTTGTTCTACTATTGATTGACTCTTAGGCTGTCCCAGTTTAGGGCTATGACAACACTGTAAATTTTTTAATGCACATTTGAAAAAATGTACACACACTGTGCATGGTTCTGAGTGGTAGTACTGGATCTCAAGGAATGTATGTGTTCAGTGTGTTTTCCAACATGTGTTTCCCTTCATATTTCCAATTAAAACAATAAAACCATTTCCTTATTTTATTTTTAGACTATTTACTTTTAGTCATTTTTAGGAGCTTAGTGGTAAGTTTATTGTAATTTTCACTTGTGCTTCTTAGTGTGAAACCTTCTGGTGGTAATTGGTGTTGAGCACCTTTCTAGTCTTTCTATTCTGTAGTACAATGCCACTGCTCTTAATAAAAATTTACTACATGTTTTAGGTTTGCTTCTGAATATACTCTTTTTAACTTCTAATGATTTGGATAAACTACCATCTTGAACATAGTCCTGGAGTTCAGGTAGTGTAAGTTCGTATTTGGTTGCTTCTTGGGGTTTGCTGTAGCTATTATGAGTCCTTGACAATTCCATATAACACTTATAATCAGCTAATTGATTTTCATTTGAAAATAGTTTGGGATTTTGACTTTTATTTTATTTAACAAGTGTGTCAATTTGTATAGAACTGATATCTTCACAATACTGAGATATTCAAAGTTTGAATATAAAAGGATCTTCCATTTACTTAAATTTTCTTTGATTTCTCTAAATAACATTATGAAGATGTTATTATATTTAGCTAGGTTTTCTAAATAGTTAATGTTTATATAATAATGTAAATCATGTGTTTTGCATGTTAATCTTAAGCATGTACTGCAGTTATATGAAAACAAACTGATTTTAGTATATTAGTCTGGCATCTGGCAATTTATGATTTCTCTTGAAAATTTTAATAACTAGTAGATTATTTTGAGTTTTCTCTGCACAGTCCTTTCATCAGGGAATTGCAACACTTTTAATTCTTATTTTCCAATCCTTTTTCCTCAATGTGATAGTTATTGTTCCCTTATTGCTCTGGCCAGAATCTTTAGAGGCATTTATTCACGTAAGTCTGATGAAATGGCATTGACCGTGAATTTGTGCAGGAACCTGGTTGTGTATCTTGATCTGGAAAAAAATCCAGAAGTAAGAGTTCAAATATCTCAAGGAGTTACTTTTAATAACTTCAAAATGTCTAAAGAGAGCAGGTCTACCAGAAATGAGTGGCTGCCACAACAGCTGTCTGAAAAGGAAGCAGCTGGTACAATCTAGTAAACACTGAGGGTCTTGGAGAAGTTTTTGTTTGATGTTGAATCACTGTGGTGGCCAATTGCTATACTGTTGACAGTAATAAACTCCAAAATCGTCAGGCTCTAGACTGCTAATGGTGAGAGTAAAGTCTGTCCCAGATCCACTGCCACTGAACCGGGCTGGAATACCAGTGGCTCTGGTAGAAGCACCATAGATGAGGAGCTTGGGAGCCTGACCGGGTTTCTGCTGATACCAGGTTAAATAGTTGCTAACACTTTGACTGGCCCGGCAGGTGAGACTGACTCTTTCGCCTGGAGATGAAGCTAGAGACGCTGGAGTTTGTGTCATCACGATTTCTCCATTGGCATCTAAGATTAGAAATAAAACAAACAAAAAAAATCTCTTTCAAACTAGAGCATATTTGTTGTCTTTCCAGTAGAGTCAAGACCATTGACCGACATTGAGCTTTGATTATTGCACTTGCTGAACAGAGACACCAAATCAGAGAACCCAACAATTTTGAGAGAGTTTTCTGACAATCAGAACCATCCTTTGACCCACTCACCTGGAACCCAGAGTAATAGAAGGCAGAGAAGCTGGGTCTGGGCTTTCATGGTTCCCTTGGGTCCAAACTGAGCAGCTGTTTCGAAGAGCTCTGACCCATGCACTGATATGGGCTCTGCGCTGCAGGGAGAGTTGGGAGGGTTATGCAAAGCAGCAGGGCAGGGCAAGGTGGGCTTCCATCTGCAGAGACCATCTATCTTCTCCTCTATGCTCTGAGCAACCCATGCCAGGTGATCAGGTCAGAAAAATCTATTGTCTCAATCTAAGAGCAAAACTTCTACTCTGTGGACAGAGAATGTAATCCCTGTGTTTTCCTGTGTAACCAATCACCTAGAATCAGCCATAAAGCATTTGGCAAAAGTAAATTAGGAACAAAATAGGAGGCGATGAGAAATGCCCAGTCATTTCTCTGTATGCTTAATTGAAAAAAGTTCAAAAGTAGAACTGATCAGAATTTTATCTTCTTTTATCTTTAAATTATACTTTTAATTTGCTTGCTAGTGATCTTTTCTAAGGGCACTGAAGATTTTTTTGGTAGAAATTAATCAAGAATAACACTTTTACTAATTTCTTCAGCACTGTCAGTACATGAACCTTCACAGGTGCACAGATGAGCTGTACCCAGGCTTTTATGTGTGCCTAAAAGCTAATGGTAGTGCTGTTCATGTAGGCAAAGAATTGTTCCTCAGGTTTTCTTCCCATCTATCCTCCACTCCATTCTACACAGCATATCTTCAACCCGGACTCAGAAATTCTTTATTTCAACAATCTGGAAAACTATATTCAAACACTTGATTACAATTTTCTACAAATCATTTTCCCCTAAAACAGTTAAATTCATTTGCTTTGTCAACCTTTCTCTCTGTCTCATGGAAGCATTTTTATGAATACTACTACAATTCTAAGGGAATTTTCATCTATTCAAGAATAAAATCTCTGTCCATATGCAGATGTTATTCCCTCCAGTAGTCCAAACGTTATCATGGGAGGTCTTGAATTACCATCTAGGCTAGGGAGAGATCCCCATTGCTTATGGATTATACAAAATTGATTATGTCACTTCATCTCCCTTTACTTTCAGTTCCAAATCTGTAACATTGTGGCAATAATAGTATCTACCTTTCAGTACTCTTTAAAGTTTAAATTAGATAAAACATTTATTTTAGTGTTGAGGACATCATGTATGCTATCATTTATTTTGCAGTTACTGTTTTAAAAAATATTTAACACTATCATAATCAGCATTATCATTTGTAGACTTATTTAGCAGAGACTCCAGGAGAAGTCTTAAATCTAATCCAATTATGTTTCCTCTACAGCCAAATTAAATTCTATAGCTTTTTTTCTCCACAAACTTGATCATAATTCTTAAAATCCTATTTATCTTGTCCTATTCTACATCAAATTGTTCAAACTTTCAATCATGTCCACCCAGAACTTTCCAGTGCAATTCTTTACACCATCCACTATCAAAAATTTACCGTATGACAGATCAACATTTCAAATTACTCTTCTTCTTCCTTTTGTGATAATTATTATGCCTGGTATTTTTTTCCTATTTTTTCCAAAACTCATCCTATGACTCAAAATAAGGACAAGCTCCCATCACTTCTTGGAGGCCTACTTCAGTACAAGTTTTTCAGGTTTGTCTTCTGGAATTTGACGATATAGCTCACTATGAAGCATATTCACTAGGGCAGTGTTTTATAAAATAGAAAATTTTATTTATTTGTGGTCCAATACATTAATTTTAAGTATCTTGAAGAGGTATTTTAATGACAATGTATAGAATAAGAATAAAACCGTAGAATGCAATATAATGAAAAAACGTGGACTATGTCTTATGCAATCACAAGAATTGCTACTTGGATTTTTATAAATATCAGGCAAATTCTGTGTCTATATATAACATGATGATATAAAAATCTTAAGGTTTAAAGAATGTCTTCATCACACAGAGGTTTGTCTGGTTTTTTAAATTATGAACAATGGGCTACAGTATTACTTTTGAGACTTGCAAAACTTCTTGCTGCCTGAGATAAAGGCAGAGAAGCTTTTTTGAGAGAAAACCATTGGAAGTTATAGATGTTTGTTCTATGATGTTGCTGTTGTTGTCAGGGAGCAGGACTGAAGTAAAAGAAACTGGAAGATTTGCAAGTTTCACTCTTCTTCATACTCACAAGTCCATCTAGAAACAAAGATTATGGTCCTAGAATCTTTGACACTTCTGGGGAAGTCTTGTTCACTCTACCAAAAATACCTTCCTTACAAATTTTTTGAGTCATTAAGTAGGACTTTGATATAGAAGAAAGGACTAGAGCAAGGGAAGATGTGCTTTATCCCAGGTAGTGGTTGTAGACACAGGCAGGTGGGCGGTTTTAAAGATCTGATGAGGTGTCACAGTCTAATATCATGGAGGAGATGCATCAAACCAGGGTCACTCCTGGATAATTATTAGTTTATTTTAGAGAGAAGAAAGATGCATTCTTTATCTAATAATTTTACATGATTTATCCTTATTATTTATTAATATTATCTGTCTTCTTCACACTCACCAAGTGGTAGAGGGGATATCCACCATTTAAACTTGAGATTTATACTCCTATTTGAATTATACCATCGAGTTAGAGAATATTCTGTATTTATAAAGAAAAAAATATTTAAGCAGTGATCAGTTTGTAAACAAGAGTATTATGTCACAGCCCTTTCCATAGTTGTACCTGTAAACATGATAAGTGGTCTCTTACTCAGAAAAGCCAGCATTCCTTATGAGCTGTTCTATCACTAAGAATGAATTGAAACCTATGGTTGCTTGATGAAGGGATGTTAAAGAAGAGAGAGAGAAAAACAGCACAAAACACAATATCAGATATTAAAAAGGGGAACCCATTACAGAGCAATGAAGTACAAAGGTAAAAGAAGATTTTATTTGTAATTGAATAACAACTAACTTTTGAAAGGCAACAAAAAAACTATAAAAGGATTACCTAGAAAGCAATCTTCAAATTTATCTTTTCTTGAGTACTACATGATACCTTTTCAAAATCATGAAAACTTTCAAGAGAATCAGAAAGGCATAATTGCTCTCCAAATTATCATATGAAGTCATAATGAAGACATAATGAAAAGGAAAATTAAAGGTCAATACTTATCATAAACATAGACAAAATATTCTAGAAAATAAAAGAGGAAAGAATATTGAATTCCTCTGTGTAGCAGAATAGAGATGGTAAAGCATATTACAGTTTTCATTTTTAAAACTGTTGAAAAGTAAAATTTCTGAAAAATTGTTATTAAATGAAAGTATGAAAGTTCTTTTTTCCTTATTGAAAAAAATATTTTGTCTTATTTAAATATTTTATTTCAGTTTTAAATTGCTTCCCATTTGGCTTGCACTTTTAGTAGAAATGAATAGTGATCATTTTTATTGCCATTTTTCTGTGCTTGATGTGTTTCAGCACACTACAAACAGAATGAATACAGTACATGCCCCTTTATTTTCTTTTGTTTATTTTTTATTTATTTTTATTTTATACATGGGGTTACAATTCAGGGTTAGGGGTACAAACGGTCATTATGCAGGTACCCTTGTTGATGAGGTGTGCCACCCCAAGTCCCCTGGCAGTTTACCACTTCTGCCAATCCCTTTCTTATAGCATTACAATAAACATTCAAGGTCTGCTTATGTGTGAGAATATGTGGCACTCATTTCTTTATTTCTGTGATAGATCACAGAGTATTACCGACTCTAAGTTCATCATATGCACAACCCTTGGTGACAGGGAGGTTTAGGAGTTTGTGTAGCAGGCCAGAAGTGAATGTACCCCAGTGTCAAGGCTTCAATTGTTAACTGTGAGGGGGTATATCCCATCAGGTAGCAATGATGTCCTATATCATAAACAGCCATAATTTCAGTGCCTATATTTTACGCATCAGTAACTAAAATGGCCCAGAGTACACCACGCGTGAGTACCACAAGAAGATTAGCACCGTGGGAACCGAATTAGCCCCAAGCCTCCTGATGTTATCAATTTAAGGTTTTCAAGGGACCTTGGATGTATTGTCATGTGAATGTCTGCATCCAAAATTTCCAGAAAACTCTGAATTTCTTTTTTCTCTTTTAACCTTTACAGGCTTATAGGGCCACTGACCTTTGGTGGGGACATAGAGACCTTGGTCCCATCCCTACATATGCCACTGAGAACAAGATATGGGTCTGCAGTGTTGTGAATCAAACAAAAAATCCAATCAGGCGACATAAAACTTCCCTTTTCTTTTACATATCTATCCTTTGAGAGTGGGTCTACCTTCCTTTGAAAGCCTTTGTTGCTCATGTTGGTTCCCTCTCAGCAGCTTCAGGAATCACTGAGTATGTCTTTCTTGTTTCTTCTCAGGTGCACCAGAGTCCATCTGGGTTTTCATGTTCTAAGGGGCATCCCTAGACAGAACAGGGTAGTACAAATTTGCCTGCAAGACTGTGTTTCATCTGGTGCCATTTTGTTACAAAGAAGATTTTTCAGATAATTGTCAAAATTTGAAATTATTCCTGAGGACTAGGCAGAATAACACATTTCATTGGTTTCTGAGGGTTATTTAGGAGAATAATCTGGTTTTTAGGGAGCAATAATAAAGTCTTGGAGGGTGAGGCTATCAGGTCTGCAACACATTAGAGAAAAGTGGGTACTTTGTACTGTACTTACATTTCTGCAAGAGTGAAAATGTTACTTTTTAATAAAAATATTTTTAAAATGCATGTTGGTATTGCTAAATATATTTCAAAGTATTTTTGTAAGGACTTTATTTATTTATTTATTTATTTTGAGTTGGAGTCTCACTCTGTCACCCAGACTGGAGTGCAGTGGCTGTTCCCAGCCACCGCTGCCACGACCCGCTGGGCTCCGGCGATCCTTCTGCCTCAGCCTTCCAAGTAGCCGAAATTACAGGCATGCACGACCACACCCGGCTGATTTTTTGATTTATTGTAGAGAGGAGGTCTCGCTGCCCAGGCGGGTCTCGAACTCGTGGGTTCAGGCAATCCACTCACCTCAGCCTC